ACCTAATTAAATTACAGCATTTCCAATCGGTCATATTCTGGAAATCGGTACGCTTTCCTGTCTAGTTGTTGCCTACCTGCTATATCTTACCTTATTTATAAAATCTCAGTCAGTTATGCGCTTGATTCAAGTGGTGTGTTAGGACAATAATAAATCAAGTGCACATCTTGATAAGAGTTTCCAAACGGCTTGATTTAATTGTGTTCGACATTTTTGTCCGAGCAAATAATTAGACACTTTGTATAAGAAATCGACGTTGCTCAAGAAATGGGCAATTGGCTGACATGTGGTCGACCACTCTTCAGGGGGACATATATCGCGTCTACAGTTATACATTACTAATCTAATGTAAACTGCGTAATTATAACCTAGCATCGACAGAGAATGGAAAAGACTCCCTCAAGGTCGCTCATGCGATTAAAGATGAAAGTTTTCTAATGGAGCAAGTTGCTTAAATTAGTATTTGAGCTCAATTGGTAAGAAGCTTTATTACCAAATTCTCGTTCAATCTCAGACTTCCCTGTTGCCGTCGTTATTACAGTTAACTTTAGGGTCAGTGTAGTACGGAATGCCGGGATATCGTTGCCGCGGGTTCATTGACAGTCGTGTCGTTGATGTAGACTCTATCAGTGTAACCAGAATGACTCTGATCAAATTTCCATAAAAACGACAATGATTATCCTGGTCCTTCATGTAAACATGGACGGGATCAGTAAGGGACTAGTTTCATTAATTCAGGGTCGCAGTTCGAGTGTTTTATAACAATATCATATGCCTTTGTATGGTCGACAAGTCTTCTCATTTGGAAGCAAGGGTCTGCTTAAGTGCATACACGGCCGGTGTTTGGCTAAAGGCGGACGGGCGATATCAGAACTCTATAATACTATACTTGATTGAGACTGCTGAAATTAATGATGCCGATCTTTGGGAATCGCGGGAATGAGTTTTACTGACCCATTCTTTGAGCCAAGGAAATGTTCATTGGTCAGGTCTCAGACTTTGAATTCCGAAAAAGATCATGTGGCACATTACCGCGTGTGTTGTTGGCCATTTCATAGCTTTTGTCTCCCCCATAGTGTTGCTAGGTAGGATATGAGTGTCAGTCACTTCCGCCCTAATTCACCGAGCTGCCGTTGGTCGCAATCACAGTCCTCATTAAAACCAAGGTCATCATCACATCACTTCAAGGTTACAAGCTCACTCTGCAATTAGATTACGTAACCAAAACAAAGTAAAAAATAAAAAGCAACACTTAGTTTGTATTACAATAACCTGAAATTGGGTCTATCACAGATCAACAGAGGTAGGTGGACGTTACATTCTCGGATATGGGATGGCATGATTGTACATTGTAAGAGTGTGATATTCTTAAAACTTACAAGGTAACCAAGGAATTAGAAAAAAAATAGAAATAAAAAAAATAAGAAAAAACATAAAAATAAGAAAAAATAAAATACGCTACTCCTTACATATCATTGAACTGTTACCGTTATAATGGTCCAAATACACCATTCATTGATGTTAGTGCTTGATATAGCAACATTTACAGCTTATTCAGCGAAAGTACTACATAATAGCACTATAACTATTTATTAAGGTCATAGGTCAAGAGGTTAACATCCTTTTATACCATTGTTCCTGGAAATATGTTCATCTACTGTTAATTGAAAAGTGCTACACAAAAACGTCTTATCTTAATGAGTCATTTCTCATAACAATAATCTTTTTCTTTCAGAGAAAGCAGCTGTTTAAGAGAAAGTGGCAAATGTAAACATCTTTCTATAAAACCTTGCAATGTTTGATTTTTTTAGAAATCATTTGGTGTAAGTTGACTTCCATTGGGTTGATGGTAGAAAAAGCTACAAAATTCAGCATATCAATCAATTTTGTCATTCTTTAGTCAAAGATGGATGGAGATGTTGGTTGATTTGAGCAAAGTTTTGTATCGACAGGACAATGAAACAAGAATATCGTGGGGAAAATACCAATGATAAAAAGGTTTTTAAACGATTTTAATTTTCATTTCGAAAACTTATTTTGGAATCACTGACTGAACGAAACCCATGAAATGGTCGTTTTGTTGTATTCAACAAATAAGAGGTGCATCTACATAAATGGTGGTGAGGTAACAGTCTTTTGTTGATTGTGGCACAGCATACAGTACTCTCTACTGTCACCCAGACTGCTAGAGTCAGATATCATGAAGATTCACCTGTCATTACTCTCTACTGTCACCCAGACTGCTAGAGTCAGATATCATGAAGATTCACCTGTCATTACTGTCTACTGTCACCCAGACTGCTAGAGTCAGATATCATACCCGCTACTGTCACCCAGACTGCTAGAGTCAGATAGCATGAAGATTCACCTGTCATTACTGTCTACTGTCACCCAGACTGCTAGAGTCAGATATCATACCCGCTACTGTCACCCAGACTGCTACAGTCAGATATCATACCCGCTACTGTCACCCAGACTGCTAGAGTCAGATATCATGAAGATTCACCTGTCATTACTCTCTACTGTCACCCAGACTGCTAGAGTCAGATATCATGAAGATTCACCTGTCATTACTGTCTACTGTCACCCAGACTGCTAGAGTCAGATATCATGAAGATTCACCTGTCATTACTCTCTACTGTCACCCAGACTACCAGAGTCAGATATCATGAAGATTCACCTGTCATTACTCTCTACTGTCACCCAGACTGCTAGAGTCAGATAGCATGAAGATTCACCTGTCATTACTGTCTACTGTCACCCAGACTGCTAGAGTCAGATATCATGAAGATTCACCTGTCATTACCTGTCACCCAGACTGCTACAGTCTCATCTACTGTCACCCAGACTGCTAGAGTCAGATATCATGAAGATTCACCTGTCATTACTCTCTCACCCAGACTGCTAGAGTGATATCATACCCGCTACTGTCACCCAGACTGCTACAGTCAGCTGTCACCCAGACTGCTAGAGTCAGATATCATGAAGATTCACCTGTCATTACTCTCTACTGTCACCCAGACTGCTAGAGTCAGATATCATGAAGATTCACCTGTCATTACTCTCTACTGTCACCCAGACTGCTAGAGTCAGATATCATACCCGCTACTGTCACCCAGACTGCTACAGTCAGATATCATACCCGCTACTGTCACCCAGACTGCTAGAGTCAGATATCATGAAGATTCACCTGTCATTACTCTCTACTGTCACCCAGACTGCTAGAGTCAGATATCATGAAGATTCACCTGTCATTACTCTCTACTGTCACCCAGACCGCCAGAATTGGATATCCTGAGAGAATCACCTGTCATTACTCTCTACTGTCACCCAGACCGCCAGAATTGGATATCCTGAGAGAATCACCTGTCATTACTCTCTACTGTCACCCAGACCGCCAGAATTTGATATCCTGAGAGAATCACCTGTCATTACTCTCTACTGTCACCCAGACCGCCAGAGTCAGATATCCTGAGAGAATCACCTGTCATTACTCTCTACTGTCACCCAGACCGCCAGAATTGGATATCCTGAGAGAATCACCTGTCATTACTCTCTACTGTCACCCAGACCGCCAGAATTGGATATCCTGAGAGAATCACCTGTCATTACTCTCTACTGTCACCCAGACCGCCAGAATTGGATATCCTGAGAGAATCACCTGTCATTACTCTCATGTCACCCAGACCGCCAGAGTCAGATATCCTCTCACCTGTCATTACTCTCTACTGTCACCCAGACCGCCAGAATTGGATATCCTGAGAGAATCACCTGTCATTACTCTCTACTGTCACACAGACCGCCAGAATTGGATATCCTGAGAGAATCACCTGTCATTACTCTCTACTGTCACACAGACCGCCAGAATTGGATATCCTGAGAGAATCACCTGACGAACAACCTTGCTTTCCGTTTCTTTCTCACACTTGTTTAATGAAATTAATTGAAAACAGGCCCGTTCAAACTTAGAAGTGTATAACTTTGTTATAGCCTTACAGATAACAGGTCTTGGTGATTTCAAGGTCAAACATGTCATTATGACAAAATTATTTTAATCAACATAAATACGCAAGATGTATGTTAATACCCTGTGTCGGTATGTGGTCTAATTTTGCTAATGGAGTAACATTAATTATCATGTTGGAATTCTTATCGGAGACCTGAGGAATCCCTTCTGGTGGATTTGCCTCTATTCAACAGCTAAGGTCATTTGACGACATAGATGATGGGTCAAGGAAATCATTCGCTTCCCTTTTATCGTCACTCAAATTCCACGTGGTCACGTTTAGCTGGCATTTAAAGCTACGGATGACCGTAAGAACAAAAGACTTTTGTATGTACAGAGACATCACCTTCCTTACTTGATCAAATGATAGGAAACACAAAAACGAGGTCTTGCCATGTACGACATGTACGAAGATCCCAAACTTAATCTCATTTCATGATGTTGGAATTGGGATATAAGGTACAATTTACAATCCCTTCTTCCAGGGCAAACGGAAAAAGACACTTACGATCAATATTACTTTTGTGACACGAGACTGTTGATTATGACGTCATTGTTAAGGTGTCAGGAGAAGTGTACTTTACATAATTCCACGATGACGTCATGAAAATGGTGCATTGATGCTGATTTCTCTGTGGTTGGTTTAACCGCACCTACGTATAATCGAAAATCTTTATGTGAGCGTATCATAGATGAAAACATCAGAAACAAATGGGATACTTAAAGCTACATGTTCATGTTAAAGACACTGATGTAAGGTTTTTCTGACGTAATATTTACGAGGTTTTTTTTACCAAACGTATTGTGATAATGTACACATGCACGTCAGTGTGTGAAGATTTTTTTTTGTGTTATAGACTTAAAATGCCTTTTGAGTGAGTATAAAAGTGCACTTATTTATCATTAGATCTAGCATGCATAATGGATATACGTTTTTTAAATCGGTAAAGAAATAATCTTTTCAGAATATAATGATTTTTTTTATTGTTTACAGGATGAAAAGAACCAGATCATGACGACGAATGTCTGGCTTCGTCAGGTAAGTCATCGCAGGACTTTTTAATACATCTAGCTCCCTCTATGAAAAAGGAGGATGGGGTGGTATAATCAATATCATAGTCATTAGCACACAACTTTTTTAACATTGTAGTATAATTGACACAATATACAACAGAATTTATAGCTGCTGCTGCTTTTTATAAACACATCGATGAGTTATTGTAATAACATACCAGATTTAATGTGATAAATCTTGATTTTAACTATACATTCACCTATGCCTTTAGAGTGTTTGTATTTCTGGTCTATAGACCTTCTCGTCGTTCCGGAGTATGGAGCCCGTCGCCTTCGGAGAGACGGCAGCAAACGTAGTGGTTCCTATCGCCGCTATTTCATACATAGTATAAGTCATAAATGTTTGATATCGACGATAGAATCAGCAGACATGTGTTAGATCACATTTAAAGTACGGAATCGCCTATTTTACGGACGCCAATGTAACGATACCCCGGTCAATGATGGACGATGCGCTCACTAATTCAGATTGATTTATTTTACTGTAGTTGACCAAAGCAATTGTACTTAGTCCGGATTGCTCACGTTGTATCTATAACTAGACATTCCATGGACGAAAGCCCTAGCAGCACTAAAGGTTCGGTATCAGAGAGAGCAGCTAGGATCGCAGTCTGCACCGATCTTATAGCTAACCTGTCATCGATGTAAGCTAAACAAGGTACCTGCGTAACGTGAAACATAAACAATGTCTTATATTGATATAGTATATGGTTGGTCTGTAGATCTTCCGGAAGTACAGTACAATTGCATAGCGGAACACCAAATCACGGCTTTGGTGACTTAGAATTATATATGTGTAAAACGTAGATCGTTTCATACATTTGTTCAAAATATATCATAATGTAAAATCACATTTTGTCTATGAGAACCAATCGTCGAATCAATACTCTTTATTCTGAGAATGTGTCAATTTTATTTCAAGACTCCTTCGATAAATCGGTATGTCTTTGAAATCGACTTTTGAATATGTAGTACGTATTGGTGATGTGATGGCCTTGCTACAATTGTACTGTGGTATTTGGGTCGCTATTAGGAACAAGTACCGACACACACCTGCCTGTTTACAACACTGAATTGCTTAATTCCAGATTTCAGGATGTACCATTTGAAATCCGAAATGCTAGTATCGTATGTCCACGCGCACAGATATCTTATGTAAGAAGATACACAGAACCGGAAAGTTCTCTATTACCGTTCTGTACGAAACATATAATCAGGAACCTCAAATTTTCTTACCGTCGAATTATTAACGGTGGTTGACGTGTGCCGGGATATGTAACCAACACGCGATGTACGAGCACGCTGCACGTGCATTCCTAGTTGTAATAACGCTGCAGCACGCGATTTGTCGGTTTTAGAAAAGCTAACGTTCGCCATATAATAACCAAGTGCAAGAAACACTTCTATTGATTTCCGAACAAATTGTTTCATACATATTTATATGATGTAAGATTTGCTGAGAGCGACATTTCACCGCTGTTACATTTTACGGACCAGAGATTCCGGGTACATATTCTACTGTATGCTGTTCTAAATGTTTGAATGGCAAGGTATGGACAGCGCAGCAATTTAGAAATACTGAATTAGTGTTAATTGAATGTAATAATGTTTTGTCCGTTATCACACAATCATTTTTCCATGGAATTTCCATGCTTCCATCTCAACCGATTTTAATAGAAACTTTCATTGTAAGGTAACGTTTTATATACCGATTTTATTTCAATAAATCAGTTATATGAAAATAAAGAGTGTTTTGCGGGATTACCAGAAAGTTTTGAAGATGTATCATTCCCTTGTGTTACTATATAATTACATACAAAATCGTTTTTTTTTTTTTTTTTAAATCAATTACACATAATCAACAGTTTCTGAAAAATTCAAATTCAGATGTCCATGAAATAAGACTGATCTATTCATTGTATTATCAGTCCATTATTTTGAATACTGAGATTAGTATGCTGTAACGGATATAAAGACATGCAACGAACCGGAAGTAGAATCAACCAATGGACAATCGAAACTTTGAGCAGATTATATATTTCCGTAACACGAGAAAATATCGCACGCGCAAGAGAGGTGCCAATTCAAGTTCACATGCGTGTAATATATTGGATGAATGGCCTACTGGATTAAGACCATGTACGAACGCCAACTTTACACTTTAGCCGAATTTTGTTGGAAATGATACGGGTTAATTATGTGTACATATGTACATCTGTGTGGCCGGTTACATACACATTTGTTTTATTGTCTGTGCATGTTGTTGTGCGGTGAAAGTAGGGCGATTGGGTGGTGGGCGTGCCAGTCACGTGAAGTTTGGCCAGGTGGCATTGCAAGTTTAAGATGCCAGATATCTGGATATTTACGAGCATGATATGCAAAGTTCATGGTGTATCTGGTTTGTTTGTAGGCGCCAATTTAATCTGGAGAATACGCTTTATTATAAGGATTGCAATAGCACGAGTCACAATAAAGTACATGGATTATCGTTATTAATGTTTATCAATGGACTGCCATGATATTCACGAGTGTCTTAACATTAACAACAAAATGTGCTTTCTATATTTAGCTGCCTAATTAGCTAACGCTTTATAGGAGATACATAAACTGGCATTGCGATGTAGCATCATCTTTCCATAATACATCATATAAATCATGTTTCTATATATGCTTCAATTTTCCCTGCAAACGTTTGGCCATTAAAAGAGTCTGGCGAAGCAAGGAGATCAGATATTTGTAGTCAGTCCAGTTGAACATTCACTCACATAGTGAAAATGTAAGCGTCACTATTCGTTAAATTCTAAACGTCATTTTCAAGGAGAGTAAGATCGGTTGAATAATTCTGTTACTTATATAAGATTCGCAATTGTAATGAAATTTGACCTTAAACTGAGGTATTCTTCTGATCATAACCACATGTGTTAATGGATCTTGGGTAGAACTCTGGAGTTGTAATGACAATACAAGGAAATGCATTATAACGAGAATGACAAGTTTTATGTGTATATAGAAAACTTTCTATTTTACTTAGTATCCGAGATAGTACATAGACAAAACATACTTTACATTATATAGGCCGTTCCTGGTCCTCTATTCTTTTCTTCAATGTATTGCTTTACTGCTGTCCTGTGACGTCACTGTGTCCAACCCTGATATTAGTTTGAGTAACTTAATAAAATCCGTATATTTGACCATTAAGAATCCAGAACTTGAAAATTTATTAACCATTTCGATTTTCATTTCTTAATGGAAACAGAAAATATTTCAATTGCAAGACTTACGGTTTTATATTAAATATATCAAATGATGTGAAACCTTAATCCATTCTAAGACATAAAGTTCTTTGTTTCAAGATCAAGTTTCGAATGTTTAAAATTACTAAGACATCAGGAAAAAGTATCTTTAAATCTGAACGAAAAGTAGAGAGACAGAAAAAGCCGGACAAAAAATCCAAATGGAATTGAAATTTTAATGTTTTCAAGAAAACTACTGGAAACTGTTGTTTTAAAACTATTTCATGTTATTTCAACATTTAAACGGGTAACCGATTTAATTCTGCTTACTATGATAATTTTTCACCCAAGATTAATTTGAACTCTATCTAGTAAAATCAAAATCTCTGTAATTAGTTACGCTCCTGTATGAGATTACTTCTTTCTGAAATAACAGTTATCTCGTCACGACGATAATGTTCGTCCTTTTTTCTGTTTTAGTTGAAATGAACCTTCAAGAAATGTCGGCATTGTAATATTGTATATATATTAATATGGAAGAAATATTTAGTACATATAAAAACTTAAACAGGTTTCCAATGTCCCTGTAAAAACTGATTTAGTGCCTTCCCTAAGTGTGGGACGGATACAATGACGTCACTGGAGACTTAACCCGCTTTGTCCTCTTTCCCCGTACTAACCAGGAGTGGTATGACTACAAACTAAGCTGGCAGAAGGCGGAGTATGGAGGGGTGGACCGCCTCTACGTCCCCTCCAAACAAATATGGCTACCGGACATCGTCCTATACAATAAGTAGGTAGAGGTTGGTACTGGTCAGTGTAGTGGTCAGCATGTCCTCCAATATACCGCACGGACAGACTCTCTTGGTAAAGATCAAAACCTCTTCATTTACAATGTGTTGAAGCAATGGTTTTCTCTTTTGCTTGAAATTAATTCTAGTGGGAGTATTTTTTTAATAAAAGGAAATGGAAAGAAACTACATCGGAATTTTGTATGTGACCGTGACTGGCACATATTGGAGGACGTTTATGTTGTGTGTACGGACTCTGGAACCATCCTGTTAACAGGTAAATATGGCACCTGACTTGACCTATAGTAGGAAAGTTCAAAGACAAATTATCATTTATCATTTTAGTACTATTAAATCGTTCTTTATATGATACTTTTCTTTTCGGCTGCACGTCCATGCGTTGAAAATACGAAATTAACGAGATGTTGATCGTTTGAACTGTGCCAAACCTGAGCTTTGGTTCAGTATATGTGGAGTCGTTAACGGTTAGAAAGGTAAGATATGAATGGCAGTCCATCACTCATAACACCTCCATTCAGCGCTTTGTTTAGTGTGGGCCTTTGGTTTCTATTATCGTACAACGATAAACTAACATGAATCAGCCAGGATACCGTATATATCCTAGTACGCACTATAGCCTGTCTTTTCTTGGTCTCACTTCCTGCAATAGACGAGCATGCGCATGGGACATGGATCAGGTCTGTACTAACACATAGAAAACCGTGTTTTACAAACTGACTTGATTTAATTGTTTGTTCCTAAAAGTGGTGGTATGACGCTAGCCTGGTTTGGAACCCGGCCGAGTACGCCAACATTACTAAATTGGAGGTTCCTTCACCTAAAATATGGACGCCCGACATTGTCCTCTTTAACAAGTAAGTGCGCATGAGCGGAAGTTAGAATATTTATATTAAGTGTTGTATCGTAATCATAGGATGTTGTCATATTGAATTGTCATCTTAACTATTATGAAAACTTTGATTGATTGATGGTGATTTTTTTTACAAACATAGAATATATCTTGACGATTTGATGTCTTCCAAACGCAGCGATCGATTCTAAAGCGAGATCATCCCCAACACTGATATTGTATATTGGTTCATATTGTTGATACATTGTGTGTAATAAGACGACGATAATAATGAGTTTTTGTTACAGAAATATAACAGAAATATTCATAAGAGAAGGCTTTCTTATAAAAACATATCATGATTGTTTTAATAAGATATAAACCAGTAACTCTATAAGAATCAACCGATTGGATCTAACACAACTACATGTCCATGCATTATCCTTTCTATAAGACATATACATGTAAACTTTGATGGTCATATAAGAAACATTTGTTTTGTATTATGTGTCTAAATATCTTTTTTCTTTTACAGGTTTTAATATTGCTAATGTCTTAGACTTCAACATGTGTTATTGTTTACTACGAATATCTGCTTTAATGTATTACTGATCCAGCCTCACCATCACAGTTTCTATACACAGAATGACGTGAATTGGCCATGTGTGTTTTTTTATTTTGATCATTACAAGCCTGTTTTATTTCGTTTCGATTCTTTCAGTATGTAAGGTGCACATGATTTTATTGTGTTTTTTTCTTTGAAGAATTGCATTGAATGTCACGTTACAGACTAGTTAATCACGTGACGCCTCGTGACTGTCACTTTACAGGCTAGTTAAGCTCGTGACGCCTCGTGTGTCGTGTTAATGTCGGACTTGTTTTTCAGACAAACTATTCCTAAACGAGGGATAGTCGAGAGCATACTGGAATACACAAAGCAATTACTCTCCAAATTGTCTTTTTCTTCCAACGCCAAAATTTAATTTGCGTTGATACACATTGTATTTCATTAGAATCTTGGTAGTATACACTGCTATGTCATAAATTATCTCCCCTAGCTGTTTGTCACCAGACGTATGTTCATGTGTCACCACTTGTTGCACGGTAGTCACACACACAACATTCTTTATTGGCAGCTTCCAACAGAATTCAGAATATCAAGCCCTAATTTCACCTTTCAGAGACTTGGGTTTAGTGTAACCACCCTGTATCAGGACAACAGTCCTTGGTACTGTTCCCTGTCCCCCAGACAAACGGTCCTAAATACCGTCCCCACTCCTCAGTCCTCATGCAGCTCCTCCTCCACGACAACAGTCTTTATTAACCCCTCCCCCACCCCTCAAGGATAGAAATGTCTTATACCGTTCCCCATCTTTCAAGATATTGTGCGCGTTATCAATCTAATCGATACCAGTGCATGTCGCCTTGTACACTTTATTGAGTATCTTAATGAAAAGCTGTTGGAATAAATCTTTGTCACCCATGGTTACATAATTGGCCGCGCCGAAAAGCCGGGACATATTGCATCTCGGTAAAGTTGATGTACACGAATATTGACAACCCTAATGTAGCCAAACACACAAAAACCAATATCCGCTCCTCGCGCTCAAAAAGCGGGCGAACTGGGTTTTTTTCTCTCTATAGACGAACGACACTCTCTTCAAATGGAAAGAGAAGTAGAGATAGTAGTCTTGTCGCCTACGGTCTGTTGATTCGGGACTTTGTCACGTATCGGCGGGAAATCTCAATTTCCTCGTGCCAATTAAAGCGACAAGACACGTCGGAATCTTCCTGAACTCATGGCCCAGTATGACACAACATGGTTTGCGGTAGTGTTCTCCTGTATCAGGGGATGGTAGAACGGTTCAGAACAATGTAGGATTCCAGGACTTCAGGATCTGAATACAAACCTTTATACGATACCGTGCATTGTAAAACACTGGCCCTAAACATCATGGTATCTTGTACTTTACTTTTCAATCCAAACCCAGTCGTTCATATAGGTAATAAAATTCCACTAAATAGATATCTTACACGTGCGTACCGACAAAAGTGTACACATCTATTAACTAAATTGGTGTATATTAGATTTCCTGTACAACGAAGCTGAAATCAACTGCATGTAATAAAGTCATGTCCCGTCACAGTTACATTAAAATTCATATATGCTAACAATCAAGTCGTTATTTAATTGTCGTTAGCTTGGTCAGTGCTATACTTTCACTGTTCATTATCTGATTTTAACATAGGGACAATTAAACGGTGCAATCTATTGTTTGGCATTTTGTATATCTGGATTCCGCCACCCAACGGCTGTCAGCCTAAAAATATCTAAATATATCTACGGTGTTTGAAATACGTCTAACATAAGTCTAGAAATTACAAGTTTCAGAGTTTATTATCATTTCTATTCGTTTTACATCACACTTTCTGGTCAATATAAAGAATATATAAGCTATAGAGAAATACATGTCATTTTGCCTCTGAAATATTACTCTCAACACGATATAGTAACTCCACATCACACTACAAGGGCTGCAACACTTTGGTCAATGTCAATTAAAAGGTAAACTTCTTCCCAAATCAAAGTATTTGAAAATGACCTTGACCTTTCAGTGCCGACGGCCACTACGAGGTGACCTTGATGACGAAGGCCACATTACACCCAAATGGGTTAGTTGTATGGGAGCCCCCTGCTATTTACAAGTCTTCCTGTCAGATAGACGTCGAGTTCTTCCCCTTTGATATACAGGAATGCAGCATGAAGTTCGGGTCTTGGACGTATGATGGAGACCAGGTCGACATCATTCACATGTGCTCTGACGAGGCCATGGACCGGAAGTTGATTGCCGAGGGTATTGATCTGCGTGATTTCTACCCTAGCGTGGAATGGGACATTTTAGAGGGGATCGCCCAGAAGAACGTCCGTCGTTACGCTTGTTGTCCTCAACCATACCCAGATATCACATTTAACATCACTATGAGGCGGAAGACGCTGTTTCACACTGTCAACCTCATCATTCCTTGCGTGTCAATCTCATTCCTCACTGTCTTGGTATTCTATCTGCCCTCAGACAGCGGAGAGAAAATTACTTTGTGTATATCCATTTTGCTCTCGCTCACTGTGTTCTTCCTGTTGTTGGCGGAGATAATTCCGCCTACTTCGATAGTGGTACCCCTGATCGGCAAATACCTACTCTTCACCATGATCCTTGTCACCTTATCCATCCTCGTCACCGTTATAGTCCTCAACGTACACTTCCGCTCGCCCTCCACCCACACGATGTCACCATGGGTGCGCAGGGTGTTCCTCAACATCCTCCCACGTCTGTTGATCATGCGCAGACCATCTACTGACCGTGAGGGAACACAGTCACGTGTTTCTGTAAGAACTTGGAACGGGGTGGAAGTTCGAAATTCATATCAGGACCAAATACGAAACACGATAGATGGGGAAGATATACGATTTATTCGACATGGTCTAGAAGAGCTAGTAGCGCAGACTGAAACAGATTCCTGCCAAAGGCGCAAACCAGTCCCAATGGAAATACAAAACGCTGTGGACAGCGTATTCTTCATCGCCGAGCACTTGAAGTCAGAGGATCAGGAGAATTCAGTGAGTATATTTGAATCAGTTAAAAATGTGGTATTCAATTAAGTACGAAACAGGGAAGTAATTAAACGAATGTTAAAAAATTCAACGAAGTTTTTCGATAAAATGGTTCTGAAACAAAATATCTAAGATTTTATGGAGACTGTACTAGACTTCTAGAACGTGTAAGAAATACGCCAATGAAAGCCATACTATTGAGTGTAGAGCTCAATGATAACACATCTAAGAGGACATGCGCTTTGATCACTTTGTATAACATTTTGAATCAGTCCGATACAAGTATGTAACAGGCAGTATAGATATTACAATATTTAGACTATAGGCATATTAAAGGTTGTTTATAAACTACACGGAATTGACCTGGTCACGCGTACTCTTGTTTGTTATAGTGATGCTAAGCGTTTGTGTGATATGGATTTGTGGACAGGGCTGTGTGTAATTGCTGCGCGTGACACCACACTTTGTCTAGCTATTCTATTTCCCATTCTTCAACTTTAAATCGATTTCTTGAAATTGAAGAGGAAAGCAACTAGGAGGATAAATATCCCTTTTCAATCGAACTTGCGTCCATGTCACTCGATTCGCATTTTATTTATATTCATCCAGCATTCTTCCAATTGTCGGCTAATGGGGCATTTCATTTTTGCATTGTAGTTTTTTTTCTCTGTCGTTGAAATTAAACAAAATTGATTTAGAGCAGGTCCGTTGAGGTGAAATACTCGATTAATCTGTTTGTAGGGCAAAGGCAAATTTCTCCAAAAGGTATTAGTACGCATGCGTCACATTTAAATTATTTGTGTAAGTTAAGAAACCGTTAGAATTATTCAATAAAACGACTTCTCCTCCCGTTTGTATATTTTATACCAGGACGGTTCCTGAACAAACCATCACTGGTTAAACGAAACATTATCTGTGTCTTTTTAAATCATCACTTTACTAGTCACATGCTGGCAGATTAAAACCAACTAAACCCACAGTCATTACACGGGATAATTTTAAAAAACGAATAATCTTATTACTTTGATTTTAATTGATTTCATATACCCCTAAGAAAACTCTCAGGATCACAGGAATGTAGAGTCATGATGATGGTGAAGTAGTTTGGAGCTATAAATCGAGGGAAGCATGCTATGTTATCGGACGAACTTTTTAACTGGTTAACCAAATATGGCTCGGTGCTTAATACAATTTCTAGGTGTGGAACAAGGATTTATAAGATTTGGTTATAATTCATACAATACGTATATATGCTTGGTGTTGTGCTGCTGAGCCACAAATCAATGTTTCCCACTTTTCGTCTTATCTCTACATGTTTAATGCATGTATATTCCGTACGGAGTGTATCAGATCACTGTTGAATCCATACTTGCAGTAATTTCTTCCACTGCCTAATAATCGGCAGTCTATACACAAATTTTATTCTATTTCATAATCCATATTATGTCTTTATTGACAATAATATGGTCGGGTGATTTATCACTGAGAGATCGCGAAGGGAGAGGCACATCTTAAAAGCGTGGCGAAACGACATGTACGTGCATATTTGTGATGAACGTCGCGATAATTTCCAATGACGGCTTGTGTACGAGGCAAGTTTTGGCGATAGTTCTGTGATATGTCGATCAGTATTGTAATCAGCTACATCATTACGCAGGATTAGACGTGCCCCCTGACCTAGTCAGTAACAACTGCACGTGCCCGTGGCCGTGATTGTGCCGATGGGCGCAGTTTTGAGCATGCACATTACTTTAACATTATTATGCTTTGATGTCAATATGCAAGTGCAAAAAGGTGGGTTGGGATGTTTAAGGACGGTGCATTGGTGGGAAATTGATATCGTGGCGCTCATACATCACGTGATGCTCTCTGATCACGTGGAAATTCTATCGATTACATAGAGAATGCATGGACACCTTGCGTTTCATCTAAACTCAAAGTCAGTCAAACTAGGGCAAAATAGTAACAATAGAAAAAAGTTCACTGAGACTCTTGAATAAGTACAAGGACAATAAAACAAGACGTTCCGGAATAGTAAGCGTCTTCTGATTCATCGACGACACCCACCATGTAAATCTTGGTCAATCCAAGTAAGTAATGTCCAATGAGAACGGTAAATCTACGAGCATCTAACACGTCAAGCTTCATTCATATCGTCTAGTGGAATGACATAGTTTCCAGTGAGATAATGATGACGACGATAAAACGTGTTCAGTTAATAACTTATTTCTTACAAGATTTGTTGAATTTACCAAGATGAAATATGCTACGTTTTGTGTCATTATACGACGTTTTCGTATTTCTTGAGTAAACCACCCTTCTTCTCCAGTTGAGATTTAATATGAAAAACATTTATTTAAAAACAGATGTCTCATACTTAGATACGTTTAGATTCCATGTCATTACAGGATAAAGTGATATTAAGGAGTTAAGTGTACATTTTATCATGACATCACGTCAGGTATGTCATTTTGTCCGTTTCACAGATAAAGGAGGACTGGAAGTATGTTGCCATGGTGCTGGACCGATTGTTTCTGTGGATCTTCACCACTGCTTGTGTGGTTGGAACCTTCGGAATCATCTTACAGGCGCCCACCATATATGACGCCAGGATGCCTCTTACACCCCATGACACGTGTTTCCTGCCGTCTTAGTGATGACGTCATCGTGTGACGATTACATATCTGTGATAGTGACGTAGATGTGAAAGTGGACACGTGTGTGTGCAACTACATGTAAGGTTAAAAATATAGCCACTTAGTGACTGAGATTTCCATTAGTGGAATAGTGACGATTGTGTGTATACAGTGTCCAAATTATCGCTAGGATCTATTGTATAACACGTTTTATTGTCTTTTATATCTAATTTGGTAATACGATAATAACGTTGCTAGTTGTGAACACGTTACGATACATCTGTTGATTTTGAGAAATGGATTTTTTTTCGGATTCGGAAGCAACATTGATCTGTAACAACGAAAGGGTACACAAGCCAACACGGTAACATTCCAACAATCAAGCAAATATCACAACAATAATATATACAAAAAAAATAAGTCATTAATGAAGTCTTGAATAAACATGACTATTTATTAATGCTGGATTTATTGGAATAGTGAATAAATGTATTTCCTCATACAACCGGAATTATGAAACAGGAACGTGTCACAATTTTTAGTCTCCCAGACAGAGAGCCGTCTGTGTAAGCGGTTTTCTTTCTTTTCTTTTTGTGTTAACAGGAATCTCATCTAAAAGTCTTCTATTTAGGTTTGTGTAAAATGCAGTTCGTCTCATGATTTTATGTCACAAGAAAGTGCCTGTGTGTGTATTTATGTTTGTATGATTCTGTAGATGGTGTTAATGTCAGTTATCTGATGTAAACGTTTCTGATGATCTCTAATAAGTTGCACAAAGAAACACACGCTCTAAGTTAGGCACGTGCCGAGGGTTTAAACGTGTCAAATCAATTAATATTCGGTGTTTAAAGTTTTAATTTTCATTTAGAACTATGAGTACGGCGTGTTGAAGCAAAGCGCGACATTTCTGTAGGTTATAAATAAATGACTGATATTTCTAGAATATTGACAGGAGTAGCTACTTCACGAACATTGGTTTACTTAAAAAAGCTAATAAGCTGTTGTTGTTGTTGTTGATTTGTTTTTGTTTTTATTGAAGATCTAAATAGTTAACAACCTCACAATTTGGTTGGAGTTATTTTTAATCTGACATCTAAACATCGATTGACATTGCTAACGCTTGATTATGTCTACACGACTGTAGATCCTTCGGTTACAAAATACTCCAGAAAAAATCCAGAGATGGCACTGTTATGGTGTCAAAATGATTTTCATATCGTACTAGTTTCCTACCAAAGGGAAGCAACTATTTGTATACCGATGTTGTCTATGTTACGTAGGAGACAGTTTAACAAGTACATTTGACGTTAATTATTCAGGTGAAAGGCCTTCTTGCCTTTCTCTAGTTCAAGGTCACATCTCGGTCGCTTGACGTACCTGTCATTTTTATTGTATTGAATTTGAAAAGGTTTTAAGAAATGATTCAAGTTATAAATTTTACTTATATCAATCTCTCTGGATACAAAATTACTTCATTAAGTTGTTGACGAAACCTACTTGTGCTAAAGACAAATGACGAGCAGCGGCAAAACAAATGATGTCCAAATACCAACGTGAAATACGTGGTTATTTTATCAGCGTGAAATACGTGGTTAATATATCAGCGTGAAATACGTGGTTATTTTATCAGCGCTGCCGTTTGAGACTTCCATAGTCAGTGTGGTTGTTGGATGGTGATGTAACGAGTAACAGATGTTTATAATTTCTAAAGTATTTTATCAAATGCTTCTTGTATGTTTATCCTTAGGTATAGATATTTAAGACTGAGACAGAAAGAAAGATGAAACTACTTCTCCTTATCACCGAATCGACTTATTGAACATTTGTAAGTTTCCATTTGTCCCTTGGTGTCTTTTGTAATTGAAGAACAGAATGCCAACAGAAGTCATAACGGATATTCACTATAACGTTACGTGTGTTTCGGAAGGATAAGCGTCTTCTGCTTCATCGACGACACCCACCATGTGAAACTTGGTCAATTCAAGTAATAATTTCATGTTCTCAAATGATAACAAGGTATTAAACAACGGAATCCACAAGTACACTAACTAATATAAAAAGTCCAGCTTCATATCGCACAAATAGATATGATATTTCTCAATGAGATCACTGTGACAACTGTAACTTTCATCAACTTGTAACTCTCGAAACATTTTGTAGTGAGTTTGTCTGTCAGTTGACAACATCTGACACAAAATTTGTGATACTGGGAACAAGCCCAAATCAATTGCAATATGTTAACGCAATAGGTTGGGATGCAAATGCGTTACTAACCAGAAAAGCAAAATTCACAATAGGGAAATTGAAATCATCACGCTTATCATACAGCTTGGTTGAAAACTGTCCCTCAAAGCTGTAGGAAAAGATCGAGATACGTGGTATATATGATGAACATGGTCAATAAATCTCTTAAGATGTCATCAATATACCTGGACGTGAAACGGAAGGAATTTGAAATGTCTTTGTGACCTCTTTTGACAAACTCTTCGAAAAAATAGCCTCAAAATCAACACTGAAATAGAAGAGTTTTTTATTTCTATGTCAAATGTCTGTTACAAGATTGCCCCACCAAACTCGACGAAGATATTGTCCGCCTAGAATTCGAACCTTTCACTGTGTTCGTCCTCCGTCGATTTCTTTGATTTGTATCGTCTTTCACCATTCTTGATGAAGAAATCTCTGATAACAATAGAATGAATGCGTTTCTTTAAATTAGAATGAAGTATGATGATGTAATCCTTCTGAGTTCTGTTATAGAAAGAATCTCAAATTTGTTATCATGTCATTTGAAATTTTAACGAAACTTGTCCAGAAATTTGAATTTTTGCTCGTCAAGGTTTAAAGGTTTGTTTCATAAAATGTCACATGAAATAAAAAACTCACTTAAAATCCTATAAATATGTATCACGAGCCATATTGATAGTAATTAACATTTAAATACAGCATGTAGGATTTCTGCATTCGAGTTAAAATCTCTGCCAAGGTTTATCATCAATTGATCAAGAAGATTTCTACAAAAGATACAAAAACCATTGTGAGGTGAATTAAAGGTAATGAAGCTATGTAAAGGTGACAACACACAAGGATAGACGTCACCACACCTGTAATCCGAGAAATCGTTTTATTGTATGGAAGACCAGCAACCCATAACGAAGATGGCCGTGACCGGAAGTCAGGTCAGTTCAGAAGATTCTTGTTCCATACTCTACCTATATTATAACTGGACATTAGTTTTGTCAAAATAAAAGCATAGCGAGACACATTGGTTAGAATGTCTACTGGGTTTCTACTGGCTATTTCTGATGATCCATCTTGTTTGATGTCACAATTAGTATCATCTGGTAATGAACATAACGATTAATTACTTAGTTGTACGATATACATGTATGGTCTAGTGTATATATTAATTATATCCGCCTTACAGAATTACATGATTGAGATAAACAATGTTCCAACAACACTTCAATGCTTCTCCAATAAATGTCATATAAATATACATGTAACTTTCACTTGTACCACGAATCCATTCACAATATAGGAAACACTCAGTAATTTTTCTATAGTCGATTAATATCTACATTTTAAGAAGGAGAGGGGGCTTAAGAGGATATTTTTATAGACATGTACTTTTCCATGTTTAACATTTAATTTGGGATGTGTGCACAGATAATAAAGATTTCAATCAAGTTAGACTACATAAAGTACATCTGAGATGTGCACGGGATTAAATGTTTGAGACGACCTAGTTTAAGGCACCCCGTGGAGGCCACCATTTACATAAATCTAATATCACAAAAATACAGAAAATATCAATTCAGGTTAGGAAAATAAAACAAACATTTACATATATTCTAAAGTACGCAACCATCGCGTTTCCATAGCAACTTCGATTGGGAACGTTATTAATTAATTCCCAAAATATATCTTGATGTAGCATTTGAGATTCCACAATGTCTGACTAGAACTCCCTAACATCGAGGTTTCCGGGAGCACTCAGGCGGGAGACAGACGTGTTTGCTCCAACAGGTCAAAACTCCGCGACATATGTAATATATTTTATTCAAAACTGATTTTTTTATGTGGCTTAAAAATCCATAAAAGTTATTGATATTCATGTAAAAACTCGGTATGACTGCCAGTGTATTACTGGTCTGTGTACGTTGTAACAGTGTATACAGAGTCTATGAATACCCCTCAACTCGTTATAGAGATAGTCTTATCCAAACATACCGGATACAGTGTGACAACGATTGTAAACCAGTCATGTTCAAATTAAACTATATCTATCAAATTCGAATTCGTTTTATTTCTTGTACAGAATAACTTAGCGCTTACATCATTAGCAAAAATTATATCCGTGCCAAACACGCCCTCCTCGCCGATTCTCTCGCCCCCTCCCCTACCTCGCGATTACTAGGGCATCAGATCACTCCACCTTTTGTCGGTAAATAATCACACGTGACTGGTAATTACGCCAGAAAGTGATGGTTCTTTGTAGGTTTATTTATTCTGATATGGACACCTTCCTGGTGGTCATGTTTTAACCACGTCTCAATGTAAGACATTCACCTCAATGACGTGTCGACAGCGATCGTATCGGATGTCTTATTTAAATAGATTAAATGACGAAATACTTACATATTATATACACTATTTACTTAATGGAAAATATTATAGGTATTTAATACACACTTTATTCAGAGTTGATTTCGTCAATATTGAACAAGTTAAGCCGGATACAATAGACCGTCCGGGTCCTTTGTGAAGTGTTTACATACTCCCTAAGATTTTTCCTGTGCTGAGACTAATAGAGAGTGGCAGTTCATTTGTGTGTTACGGTGTTTGTATGAGAGAAAGAATGGTGGAGTGCGTATAATTGGAACTCCTTCTGTATCAGGATATTTTCTTAATCTTTGTTCATAAATTGGTATTCAGAATAGATAAAACCCTGAAGTGCATTTGGCAATGAGAACAACAGCTAGCTGATGAACACATTTAACATTTGAAGTGCTTATAGACATCCATCCAAATACCCCACCGTTCTCATAGACATCTCGTATAAAACATGACAGACAATATGTATACATCAGATTTAAATCAGACCCAAAAAATACATTCAATATATACATTACAATAGCGCACACAATAGTTAGATCCCGTTAGACAAGGAGTTCGTGACTTGAGAGGCTCCTCGAGGTTGCTACCAAGGTCCAGTTGTGGGTGAGAAAGTTTTTGCTGGGCGAGCATGACCTCCATGATATTCTCAATAAACCTGATGACTTAAGGAATGTAGAATTTGAACGTGACTACGCCTATCTGAACCATAGAGAGAACACTCGAGCCTGCAGAAAATGACCGTGTGTATTGGAGGTCAAAGGATTCCCACGGTTTGTCATTTTTACTGTATTTAATCATTGTTACACGCATAGACAAACTCCATATTTTTCGTCAAATAGGCACGCTTGCATAATATATTATGTATTGCGTCGGCGGGACACTGATTAAGTACAATGTCGCTCTTACTTCGTAATAGAATTGTAGAATATTTTATAGATAACGGAAAAAATAAAAAAAAAAAAAACCCAATATTGACCTTTGTAGGGGTCTGTGATAAATGTCTGTCATTGCGGAACAGCAGAAGACTTTTATCACGCAATGAAATATTAATAAATTCCATGTCAATATTTATAATGAGGTTCTGACGATAAGTGATTAGTTTGTTTTAAAAACCATTAAATATCTTTCTTTGCTGATTACAAGCTGTTTTTGCGATAATCTCTCCTGGTAATTAGGATACACAATTACGATGGTAGTTTGAAATATTTTTGATATGTTGCTCGAGTCGATCATGGTCGCTTTACAAAATTCGAAAGGAAAAAAAAACAATTTGAGCGCACAGAACAAGTGTAATGGACGGAAGTAGTGAAATGATGGGGTTAAATCTGGACCTTTTCCCATTCTCTTAATTTCCTATTAACCACATGAGCATATATGTATGCATA